ACTTTCACTCGGGACATTCGGACGCGCACCCCGACGGCACGGACTTGCGTCTCTCGTCTGAGTACAAAGTTGCTCCAAATTATCTTTCATCCGTTCTGTGTAGGATTTAATCCTCCTCTATTGACATCTTACTTTTCTTTCTCAGGACCTGTCCCGAAGTTCGTTGTGATTAATGTCTTCCCAGGCTTCAGTTGCCGAGACAATATTTCGCCGTTATCGCGGCCTGCTCGCTCGTGTCGTCCATCTCGCAACAAGCACGCCCACAGGTCTGACTAACAAATCCTGCGGTCTACATGTCTATCTCTTTTGATTGTTCTAGGCTTTTTTCTTCAATCACTATGCGCTGACTGATCTCAGATAAAAAAGAAGATGAGGAAAGTGTGAACTCATTAAATTATGAATGCTTTGTTACTGTCGTCCTGCTGAATAATTACAGCGGTCTGGGAGAGTACAGAATTCGCGCAGCCGGCAAAAAATTGTTCACAGATTTCCTATTGAATGCACTTTGTCTCACTTACCAGAGGTTTGCACGCGACCTGTCGGACGAATCACTGTTTCGATCTGACACTTGTTCTGTTTGAATCACAATGACAAACATCTTGCACACAGGCACCAGGCAATTGTCTTTTCTATTATTCGACATGTTCATTCAGGAACCCCGTTCTCCATCCAGTAGATGTGGCTCCTGACTTGTCTGACTGCAGGATGAAAAATACTCATTCTGTTCCACGAGTAAAACGAAATCCGCAGCACTCGCAGACATTCGCACAGCCTCGCACAAATAATTATGCTGAATGAATACTCACAGCAAATGGGTAGCCTGAAATGGCCACTTTTGGCTTATTTACGGCCACCAACCAAACCTAAACCATTTACGGGCCCTGAAGGCATTTCAGACTAGAACTCGGGTTCCATTTGCTGCAATTCATTTTCGGTTAAACGCTCTTGCGCCTGGATCACTGAGCCTCTGCCGCGTCTGTGGCGATCAGGTCTATTCTAAGTAACCGCCGACATTGGCAATAAATTGTCGGATGCCGCGCCCTGCATACACGGCAGAAGCTAAATGGAGGCAGTCGAGGTGATTCGAATTCGTGCTCTTTACGCACCCAAGCGCAGAATAGCAATGCACACGCAACAGCAGAGCTCGCGCAGTACTCGCGCACTCGTATGAGTATGCCAACAGCCCCCCTACCTCACACCCAATTATGTGAAGTCGTCTTTGCATTATTCCGGCGAATGTCGACATATTTTTGCCCAGGTTGTCTTTCTTACTACCTCATGCAGTTGTTAAAATAGATTTCTACCGTCAGTTCATCCAAAAGGATCTGAGATGGCACAAGTTGACTAAGCATCTTACAGGCAGCAAACACTAGCACGTCCATGTTGTGTGGTTTAGCCGTAGTTTCGAGAAAGAAATGCAGTATCCAGTGTTTCTCGATGCATACTTTTGCTTTTCCCATGGGTACATGACCTGTGAGGCTAAATTTCCTGAATCTTGGTTCTGCTCTGTTCTTATCTGGGAACTGCTACATAAAGACTGTGTTTTCTAAGGTGGTAAAAAGTTTTGACGACACATTTACCGTTTTCTTCCGAATGATGAAATCAGTGAGACAGGCGCTGTTTCAGTGATCCACTGCAAATGCGTTCACACTTACACCGGTCATATGCTACGTACGGAAGTCAAACGATGCAAATTACTTGCATTTCTATAAGTTCGAGTCAACAGCAGTCACAACCTGAAGTCTGAAGCCGAGACCCAGTTACACGAGTCTTAACCTCAATACAGGGGAACCGTCAGATAGTACGACTGCGTAAGCATCAGCCGCACCCCTCTCCGGGCAGGTCAATAAAGCTAAACGACTAACATCAACCAACTAACTGAACGTCATTTCAGCACTCTTCGCTCTCTGATCTTGCGATCTAGAGCATGCTTCGTAGCACAGTCGTAATAAATAGTCCGATTTTGGCAACACATAATCCAAGTACTTTGCTGCAAGACGGTAGCTATTTTCGGACAAGCTGACGCTTATAAGATTCAAGAATGTTCGTCATCTTCCTTGATTAGTTTACGTTAGTCCTCATCAGGTCATGCTGCCTGCGCACACCAGTAAGCGAAGTGTCTTGGTGGGCAATTGAGAAAAGCTTCCTGCAGTCGATCAACGCGAAACCAATGACCGACGCACACCAGAAGCACAAATCACACGGTCGAACAGGACCCCTCTCAATCAAGTCACCTGCACGCCATGAGGATAGTGGATTCAAGTTAGCCATGGAAAACATGATCATAGAGACGGCTTAAGCCCCCAAGCCTTTCAACCGAACAATCTCATGTACCAAAATGGAGTCCTGGTGAGGGTATGTGGTGGGCGAAGCGGAAGCGATTTACAGCATGTACGTAAAAGTGACATCGATCACTTCCCTGGTAGGTTTACTTGGGGAGGTCATCTCGTTTTGTGAAGGACACGATTTACGAAATAAAAAAACTTGGAATTTCTGCTGAAGGATCTTGGGGGACGAAACCACACGTTGAGAGGGAAATGAGAACCGAGGAGGTAATTGGGTGGCGGCGTCTTGAACACCCGATAGTCCTTCTTAAAAGTTATATGGAAGTTTGTTTGAGGAAGATGCGGAAAATAAAAGATTAATCGATGATAGACAACCCCTTTTAACTGTTTAGGAACGGACAGATCTATGCGTCTTAATGACCTTCTCCATCATCAGAGTGTCTAAGGGCAGCCAAAAGCGCAACACAGATGCTATTTGCGCCGAGAAAAGGATTTGTGCAGATTGATAAGGAGTCGTCTCACTTAGAGTATGCCATCCAGACCTGACGTCCGTGGTTCGATAAGAGTTATCAACTACCGGAAAGCTTACGTGCGATGCTTATGAGGGTGTCAAGAGTCTTGGCCAGCTGCCTTACGAATCCAGACCGGCTGAACTTTATCGCTTTCCCTCCAATTGCAGCCAACCGCGCAGCGACCTCATTCAGACTCATCGGTCTGTTGGAGGCCGCACATGTGCCCTAGAATTTGACGACTCCTTCGAATTCGCTAGAACGGACCGTTTGCGTGGTCATCCCTTTAAACTGTAGAGAAAGTCGGTCTATTCGGAAGTCCGACGGGACGCCTTCTCGCAGAGGTCAGTCGAAGCATGGAACGGACTCGCTGACACGGTGGTTTTGTCGAAACTGTTGAAACATTAAATTCGGACCAGTCATTTCCTGGAGAACAATTGGACATATTTGTCGGTGACGGCAGTTTGCGCCTGTTTCACACACCGATCACTTTTGACTTTCCAAAATTACTGATGTAACAATTGATTTTATTGCTATTTTTGATCTGAGCAGGAGCTCAAGTAGAAAGCGTCATTCCCTTCAAAACCAGCAGTGCTAAGGTAAAGCTGCAGTTTTCTGTGAAAGCATATAGAATATTTGACAATCCTATATCGATTGGAGGGTTATCCCGAAGAATGATTTACCTGGAAACAAAGATGAGAGAATGTTTAAAGGTGGAGGAGGCGGGAGAATGTATGATCAAGGGAGAATAACGAAGTTTCATGAACGAGTAAGGGGAATAAGAGCTGGAATCCGATGAAAAATCGAACTATTATTAATGTAAAAAAGAGATAGAAGCTGCCTTCTAGTCTCCGAACCCACGGAAACTCTAGTTTAATAATCTGACATCTATTCGAGTGGGAAATATTCGGTTGTGTTGTGCTAAGGATCTTTTAGTCAAATGCCTTTGATCATTTCCAACCTTAGAGCGACTAGGCCGGTGTAGGTTTACGCACATTTTCGATTTTCACTGTAAACTTTCCTGTACACCTGAACGTTTCTGCAATTAAACGTTGACAAATGTATCTTTGGCGTCTCTTCTCTAGATTTCCTTGGTCACGACGTCAACCATCGTGGAATCACACCGCTGCTAGGGAAGGTGCAGAGCATCCTGTCATTCCCTGTCTCTAAGACACTAACTCGGCTGCGGCGTTTTATAGTACTTCTCAACTATTACAGACGTTTTATCCCTCACTTTGCGGCGACCCTAGCTCCCTTAACTGACCTTCTAAAGTCTAAAGCAAAGCCGATCGAACTTCCTCCAGGAGCTCACTCAGCCTTTGAGGCAGCTTAGAAAGCTCTTGCTGATGTCACTTTTCTTTACCATCTCAGCTCTGATTCCCACGCACAGCTGATCTTGACCACTGACGCTTCCTACAGTGCTGTCGGCGCAGTCCTACATCAACAGCTGAATAACCAGTTGCAGCCATTGGCTTTCTTTTCACAAAAGCTACAACTGGCGCAGACTCGCTACAGTACTTTCTCTCGCGAACTCCTTGCCATTTAGCTGGCCATTCGTCATTTTCGACATCTCTTAGGGGGCAGAGATTTTTCGGTTCACATGAACCACAAACCTCTCAATTACGCCCTCAAGTCCAAGCCAGATAGGTACTCGCCCAGGGAAGTTCGTCATCTGGACTATTTATCGCAGTTCACGGTAGATATCCGTTACGTCTGAGGCAGCGACAATGTCGTTGCTGATGCATTATCCCGTCCGGACATTAACATACTTACATCCGATTTCGACCTGGCGAAGCTTGCAGACCTGGAATCAGGCGACAAGACCATTGACGACCTGCGTTCTACAACTACTCTGCAACTTCGAGATGCACCAATTCCCGCATCACCAGGCACGATTTTGTGCGACTGGTCCACAGGCACTCCTCGACCTGTTGTTCCACAATCCTACCGCAAGACACTGTTTGACCATTTCCATTCCCTGTCACATCCTGGCATCCGCGCTTCTCGTAAGCTAATCGCTGATCGTTTTATCTGGCCGAAGATGAACTCTGACATCGCTCTTTGGACTAAGCAGTGTTTAGCCTGCCAGAAGAATAAAGTACACCGTCACACATTTTCTCCACCAAGCACATTCGCCGTTCCAGATGTTCGTCTCCACCACGTCCACTTGGATTAAGTTGGTCCGCTAACCCCTTCACGCGGATACATGCCTATTCTGACAGCGGTTGACCGTTTCACGCGATGGCCGATTGCCGTTCCAATCTCGGATACCTCGGCAGAAAATATCGCTATAGTTTTTCTGACGCATTGGATTTCAACTTTTGGTGTTCCAGCCACCCTTACTACTGGCCGCGGGAGTCAATTCCAATCTAGCCTCTTCCGTGAGTTCACTAAACTGCTCGGGTGTGCGCACATCACAACCACGGCATACCACCCTGCCTTCAACGGCCTCGTTGAGCGTCTGCACCGTCAACTGAAGTCCGCACTGATGTCCCAAACAGAATCAGCTTCTTGGAGTGACAATCACCCTCTTGCGCTTTTGAGCATCCGATCTTCTGTCAAGGAGGACATCCAATGCACTGCCGCCGGTATATCCTTCCGTCTTCCCGGCGAATTTGTGCAGTCTTCCACGACGAACACCACCGTCCCGAGCACCTTCGTACAGCAGTTGAAGCAACGCATGGCTCAACTGCGTCCAACCCCCACTCGTCTGACATCGAAACGTGTGTTTGTGCATGAGGACCTTAAATCTGCCCCATTCGTTTTCGTCCGGCATGACGTGGTTCGCAAGTCTCTTTGTTCCCTGTATGATGGCCCATATAAGGTTCTTCAGCGGATGGACAAATATTACGTCATGCAGACGGCTGACAAAACTGACACAGTCTCCATCGACAGACTTAAGCCAGCCTATCTTGAATGCATCCCGCCGTCAGTTGTGCCATCGACTTCCTCTGCACCGTCCTCGTTCGATCCACCCGTTTCGGTCCCATCCACTCAAACACCACACTCGACCACCCCACACACCCATCCTGATTCTCCTACCACTGCACAACGCACCTCATCTCGTTCTGGTAGACATATCCATTTTCCTGCCAAACTCAAAGATTTTTGTTGTAACGTTTTGCTTTTTTTATCGAGCGTTTTTTTGTACAACAAACGCTCTGGCGGGGGAGTTGTGTAGGTTTACGCACATTTTCGATTTTTCTCTCTAAACTTTCCTGTACACCTGAACGTTTCTGTACTATTGTTTAAATCAGCTTAAATACACATACTTGGTTTCGACTTGTGAAAAAGCGTGACTTTTGTGTTTTGGTTTCGAGTGTGCTTGACGTCGTCATTTCTTGGCCTTCGTTTGTAACCTCTCAACACTCTTAGCAATTTGTATGAACTGACGGAGACTCCCTCCTCACAAGCCTACTTCACCATATCATCGCGGAGCCGACTGCCTCTATTCAACCGGTTCCTCATCGGAACACTATCTCGCTACTTGAGAGGATTCTACTTTGCGTGAGTCTGGAACATTCCTTTTCTGATTTTACGAATCTTTACATTCTTTTCTTTTTGTTGGTAAACACAATTCCCCCATTTAGAGTCAGCTTTTCCTGCATATATTACTGTTTGTAGTTTTTAAGTCCACGTTTCCACTACACAGTCGACTTTACAGATTCTCCCACTCAGACATGACTAAACCCCGTTAGCTCATGGCTTGAGCTCGTCAATAGTCAAAACCTTCGGTGACAGCTGCTCAGGGTTCTGTAAAGAATAAATCCCTCACCATGGTGTCCTTCTTCTCGTCCTGTTACCCAGAACTTTGCCTAATTACTGTAAGCCCACTGCCCTGACCCACGTATTCTTAGCACAGTAGGTGTGCTAACTCATGAAATTTTAACTGAAATTCTGAAATGCGTTTTTGTTTCGAAAAGATTACTTATGTGGGGTTTTAAAGTTAACCATCATGCAGCATAATTATATAATAATTCAGTTACCGCAAGATATCGGCTTTTGAAAGAACTTTTACCCGTCCGCATGCAGAAACTATAGTCTGTTAAAAATGACAACTTAAGTGGCGTGCATTTTCTCATTGATTTTTGATGCCCTTAAAAATTTAATTATATCTCGTAAAACATCGTGTCTCTGACTTTACTAATATTGCTTTTTAAGTCTGCAATACTGCTCAAATCCACCGCTAAATTTTGCAAATCCCCTATGACCTACTTCTAATACAATAGAGGAATGAATGCTTTTCCGTAAGTGAATAATATGCTGCTTGTAGTTTGAAAACCCTAAACGTAAGTGTAATGGCAGGTCGGTTTCAAAATTATTTTGGAATTGGAAAAAGCTTTAGAAAAAAAATCATACCCTTCCTTCGGGCAAGCAAGTCAGCTGCTTCGTGTCATTGTTTCGTTGATTGCACTCATTTGCGTCAATCACTTTTAGTCAATCTACACGAAACTTTGATATCTTTTGGCCATATTTAACTGGACGTAATTTCACCTGAGTGACAAGCCTCATTTACTGACTTCGTCTCGGATTTTACCCAGCACATTCACCCTACGGCCAACCATTGTGGAGAAGGCTTTATTTATCGTGAGTCTGTACAATTATTTACTTTTGTCGTTTTTCTTATACTCATTTTGCTATCGTTATTTTTCTTGTAAGAAACGCAGCATCCTCCACCTAGAGTTAGATATTTATTATTGCTTGTAATTTAGTTGCCGTTTACACTACACCTGTTCATTAAATCAAGGAATGGGCAGCAATATTTGAGAGTAGGAAGGACAACTATTCGCTAATGTCCCGATTTGATTTCAGCACGGTAGAAATTATAAGAAATGACGATGTAAATCTGGGCAGCTTTCGACGTAATTTTATCGACGTGCCGCGAGACCTCTAGATTAATGCTTTAGCTTAAACCTGAGTTCTTGATGATGGAGCACTCTGTCATAGGGGTGCTTTGAAAAATTACTGGTTGATGTAGCCTTCTGGGTTCAAAACAAATGTAGCGGCATTTGGAAGGAGAGAATTCTACTAGCCATGTTTTACTCCATCCGGAAAGAGCAAGCAAATCATCATGGATTTGCTCCTGACAACGTTAGATCGTCGATTTGAAGAAAGAATATGCGCATCTGAGATCATCTGGCAGATTAAAGTTCTAGACTGCTTAACAACCGATGAAATAGCATTGATTTAAATGGATACCAAAAACGAACATAACGCGTACCTTGGGAGGCACAGCTCACTGCAACAAAAGGACCCCAATTAGAGATTGTGTTTCCAACTAGGTAGGTTGACCTACTTAATTCAACAGGGAGCCTGTACAGTCCTAGGGCCTCCATTTTAAACAAGAGTTATCGGTTTTGGCTCTTTATCATAAGCCTTACTAAGACCAAAATAGACAACGGCAACAGATGGACGATCCTCAGGAAGAGAAGTGAGTAGATTCAGAAAAGACGTATGACACGTTTCACAAGAGTGATCGGACAAAAATTATGTTTGGGAGAGCTAAGAACCTGATTTACTATGCGAAAGTCAGTTATTTTTCATGAAAATAATTTTTTATTCAGTTTAACGACAGACGGCGCTTTATGAACATCCCGACAATTTTAGACATCAGATCGGCAGCCAGATTTATATAATTGCATATTAATATAAGTTTTCTGACATTCATGAAAGAAGTCATTCTCGAGAACTACTCGGAATAATTTGCTTAGCAGAGGAGGAAAATCCCTTAGCTGTTTAAAAAGAGAGTTCTGGATGTTGTTAGTTCTTACTGGGTATGATTTACTAAGCTAGCTTATCATTTTCTGAATATTTGCAGGAACAAAATTATTGGTGGGAGGTAAGTATCAGACGACGGAGGAATTTAGGAGATGGGGTCGGTTTCAAATGGTAAAATGATTGACAAAGAACGAATTTGACAGTTCTGCTTTTCCCGACTCCTCTGTGATCAAAGTATTACTACAACTAAACAAAGGCAAATGGCTTGGTGGGATTTAGATAACGATCTCGTAAGAAAGACCTGAACAACATACCCAGAAACGTTTGTACCACCAGTAACTAAAACTCTGTACGTCTCTCCCGTTCAGGCCTCGTTTTTGAAGCTGGTTCAACTATTTCTGCGATTCTGCAGTGAACCGAAGGATCCTTTCAAGTATGTTTTTGAGAAAGTGTGGGACAGTAGAAGAAGCAGCACCTTAAATAGACATCTTCAGTGAAATGAACTCGAGAAGATTTCCTGTTAAGCATTTCAACAAATCGTGGCAAAAGTTTGGATCATTATTTAAAATTTATTGTTACAGTCTATAGTGCTTCTAACGTTATTCACTAATTGGTTGCTAACATTAGCAAAGTCAAGGTAGTTAAGCCTTTCCGCTGGCTTTGAGAAAGGGGAAACTGGAAGACAACAATTGATTAACATATGGTTACTCGTAAGAAGGTCACGATGGAAACCCTCAAAAAATGGTGGTTGAAATTCGTAAAAATTTAATCTTATGCCCTATGGTTGCTGATCGATCCCTATACGACAGGCATGCTGTCCGCATCGCTTTCTTTGACTCCCAGAAAGCATTAGACAGTATGCCTCCACCAGCGGCTGATATAAAAGCTGGAAAAAAGTAGGGATCAGAGGTAACTTCCACAAATGGGTCGCAAAATTCCTTGTGAGTCGGCACCAGGTTGTGCACATCGGTCAAGGAAAAGCAGATCCTGCTGTGGTCTAGAATGAGGTTTCCCAGGCGTGGAAACTGTGCAAGGACCCTGGACAGCGAACCAGCAATGTTTTTCTGACGACAGGAAAATATGGAGTATAATTCGGGACCCTACCGATGAATATTGACAGCAGAGCAACTGAAATCGGTTGGAAGAATAGTCAACTCGTTGGATCAACAGCGGCAGATGTACCTTGCTTCGTCAATGCAACCCAGGCGGGTCCGCCGGTCTAAGAAATTACTTTCTCGACGGAGCGGTCTTGTGAGACGTGGAAAACGAAAGGATCTCGGCGTGCTGCCAGCGAACTCATTAAAACCATTCGCTGAGTGAACGAGAGTTGCAAAATGCGCAATGTCCGCACTGCACGTCCTCAAGCGAGCCTTTATGGACTCTGAGGAAGAGGTCTTCTTCAAGATCTCCGGAACGTTTTTTGGCTGCACATAGAATACGGTATCCAACCCTGGGGACCGCAAGATGTCCTAAGTCGAAATGGTCCCGAAAGAGTCCAAAACAGATCCAAGGAAAACGTTAAGGGTCACGGCTTGTTTTCCTCTGCAACCCGCTTAGCAAATCGGAACCTCCTTCCTTTGAGTTATAGGCATCTGTGCGGGGATCAGTTGCAGCCATTCCGAATCGTGAAGGGATTGGATTGCAGCCTGGCCTTTGATGACTTTTCTGACTTTGCAACCACTACCAATATCCGAGGCCACCCATTTGAACTGCGCACTAAACGGACATGGTCAGAGTTGAGGCGCACAGTTTAACTTCAAAGATAAGTGAAGCCTTGCCTTTACTTCGGTATTCCTAGGTAGTTAGCGTGTATTTCCGACTGAACCGTTCTTAAAAGTTACTCTCTACTGCTGCGTGCAATTCCTTTCCGCCTAATTGGACTGTCTGATAAATTATTTGCATTTTGCGCAGCATTTGCTTACTTGATCCCGTATCTGACTATTCCTGTCTATTTGCTGTAATAAATTAGCAGTAGTACTTGTTGTTCTGTGTGTGTTTTCGTAAAATGGCAGCATTTTGATCTCTGTACAGCAAGGAGAAACTTGTCTATTATGTTTTAATGCCCCGAAAGAGATTTGCTAAAAGAGCCAAGCTGGCAACATCCCTCAATTTCTGAGAGCTATAATCTTGGCCAGATACACAGCGGGTGCCAGCGCTTCTTCCCAGTTTTCTCTGGATATGGTTAAATCAAAATTCCATCGTTCCAAATTGAGCCATTTGACCCTTTGGTAGCTCAAAACTACAGCTCGGATAGGCGTAACAGATCATCTTCTGACGAAAACTAGGTCATTGGGTACATGCGTTATATACGGTACTTCCGAGAAGATTATTGAATAATCATGTAAAGTTTTTCAGGTAATAAGCCTTAAAACGCAGACAAGGACAAAATGCAAGCACAGTTTCGCGCTGTTTGACGTTCATAATCACTTAACTGCTATGGGGGTGCGTATTTGTTTCTGAAAGTTGTGGCCCGGGTTTCAAAGTCGCACAAATTAATCGATTACGCTCGCTCGGCCGTAATATTCCGATATTAGTTACTTTCCCCTCGTTGACAGAATTCGACTCCATCTCCAACTGTGTCTTTACTGACATTGCTCAGCTGCTTCGGACTTCACACCAAGGCGAAGGAGACTAAACAACTTGAAAATGTCGACAACTAACAATTACATGACAGCTCCTGCTTTTATTTGAAATACGTCTGCGGCCTCACCACTTCATAAAACAGCTACTTTTGTAGGGCAGTCGACTACCGCTGATGTTTAAGTCTATCAACGCAAAAACGCGTCTCTTACGCACACATTTCTACCTACTACACCAGCAAACCCTAGTAAACCAATGCAACTGGCTAATACAAAGACGAGTCAGAGCGAAATTTTGGCCACTTGAACACTGATGAAATGTAGTCTATCTAAAAAAACTTCCCAGCCATAACCGCCTAGAATTTATTCAAATTCCATGACTCCGAACAGCGCGTTTACGACTACCCCCAGACCTTATATCGAAGCAGTACAGCTGAATATGCCAAAATTTCCGTCTTTAAATATAATTCCTGCCCCGGTGGAAGAAGTTCGTCTCCCACAAAATTTTTCCTCCGAGGCCGTTTTACTAATGCATTCCTCATGCTAATGTCCATAATGGGTCAGTTAACTCATCTGTTCCTCAATTTCGCGCCGGCGGGAACACATTCCAGTATCCAGTCCGTGGATTTCGAGCAGAAAATAAGATAGCTTACAATGGTCACCAGTTTCCTTGCCCGTCATTTCCTCCCTCAAATCCTACCCCTCTTAATTCGCGTCAGGATCTTTTGATGCGAAAAAAAATTTATAGAGTAGGGCAGGAGAGTTGACTTCAATATTCCGTGGACAGCCAAACACTAGACGACGTAGCTCACCTCCCTCAGAAACAAACAGTCTTTCCCCTTAAACTTGTCGCCCTAAACGCCAGATCCTTCAACATATGATGCCCCTGCCTCAGACTCTGATATTCTTCGATTGTCCAGATATTGTTTTAGTAAGTGAGACATGGGCAACCGTTTTCGCAGCTGATTCCGAACTCTCTCTCTTCTGAGCTATACTTGCATTCGAAATTATCGTCAAGTCAATGGTGTTGGGGTAAGCCCCATCTATGTTAAACAAACACTTGCATTTCTACCGCTAGACCATCTGTACTAATTCGCGATAGAAAGTAGCTGCTGATTTCAAGTCGCTCCAAAAAACGGGCACCTTTACTCGTCTGCAGCGTTTACCGTTCACTCAAAGCCCGTGAGGATTTTGATCTTTATTTTTCAAAGGCATTCCATGTCGGGGCCCAATTGAACTTAAATTGTCATTAGATTGCAGGCGATATCAATCTTCCTGAAGTCCGCTGTTTTCTGTCTTTCTGTAGCAGAATGTGAATGTTGACATAAAGAGTCACGCTATCGGAATTCCCACCCGCGGATCAAGCATAATGAACCCAATTTTCTATATAGATCGTATGCCTTGGTCGTCGTCAGCTCCAGGTACACTCGGGGCTCAGACCAAGACATAGTTGTTTCGGCGTTATAACTCGTGGTTGACAAAATTTTGTCCTCAAAGTATAGTTTCTTCGATTTACAATTACCTCGTTTGACCGATTTATTAACACACCTTAATTCCTACAAACAGATTGACTTCCCCATAACTTTGGACCCAAATGTCTGCACTATCAAACTGTACGAAATTTTGGATCAGCTCATACCTCGTTTCGTCCCCCGTAAGAAAATAATCAATATCGGGGTGGGGTTTTCCTCCCGTTACCCTTTCGCCGTAGGTTTCGCAGACGTCCTTGTCGATGCAACTTTCAGAATGGCGTTTTCGTTCTGCCCTCGATTTGTGATATTTCTGAGCGGGTTAATGGATTGTCCGAAGAAAGACAGGTGGCTGAAGACGTCCAATTCACCAAAAGCAGCCTATTAAATATTTCGAAACTTTTCTCCCGTAAGGTACGAACTCACAGAAAAACGCAGCATTCCACCCTCCGAGACGCTTTTGGGAATCCTATAGCTTTTGCCCAGTTAACCACTGATAGTTTCAACGCTTTCTTGCCTAAAACGTTTATTAAAAACTCGATCGCTCTGCTTCCGACCATCCGGACATTGGCCGGGACAGTTCTCTACGTTATAATTTTCACTCTATAGGACGTGACTTTAGCGATTCGTCGTTCTTTTCAATCTCATGGCATCGGTACTGATGGTGTCGCAGTTAGCATCCTTAAAGCGGATGCAAATGCAATTTTCCCATCCCTCTTGTGCAAGATATTTAATCCCACTCTTGATAGTGAAATCTATCCTTCTTTGTGGAAGGAATCACAAATTCCGCCTATTCCGAAGCATGGCCGATCTACGTCATTTGATGGCTTCCGGCCAGTAAGCACCCTGCCCAGATTTTCCAAAGTCTTAGAGACATTGATCAGAGATAAGATGATGTGTCACTTAACAGAGAATAACCTACTGGGCGCTGTACAGCATGGATTCCTCAAAGCTCGCCCTTGTGACACCTGTCAGCTCTCTTACTTTGACCATGTTCTCCAATCTAGGGTCAACAGTTTTGCACATTACACAGTTTATTTCGATTTCACTAAGGCTTTTAATCGTGTTGACCATGCTCTTCTTCTCTTGAAACTGTCCTCTTTCGGAATAGGTGAAAAATTTTGAATTTTACATCCTCTTACCTGAGCGCTCGCCCACAACGGGGTTAGATTTCCCATACTATCTTCAACCCCATATGTGCGAGGAGCGGACTCATTCATGGTAGTGTACTCGACCTGCCATTATTTTGCCTTTTTGTTCACGTTGTACCAAATTCAGTTCAGAATGGTTAGCCCTTCATGTATGCCGATGATCTGAAGGTTGCATATAGGTATGAGCCGACATATCGTGACATCGAGCTCGAGCTCCTGAATAACTAAATTAAATAACCAATTCTTTGTCAAGACCCGTGAGAGTCCTGTCATAGCGACCTACAGGCCTTTGCAAATTGGAGCCACACATTGCGCCTTTCCCTCTCTTGGAATAAATGTTCAGTCATGATAGTTGGCAACGACCGCCAACCTCAACTAAGTATTGACGATAACGCCATGGGGTTATTAAGGATCTGGGTGTATCATACTCCAAGAGTCTTCACCTTTCAGAGCATTGTGTCTTGACAGTCTCCAAAGCAGGTGCAACGACCGGGTTTATCCTCCGAAACTTCAAAACTAGCGATATTAGAATGCGTCTTTATAAGCCGTTCGACCTGGACTGGAATACAGTTCGTTTTTATTTAGCCTCATCCGTGCTGTTGAGCGGAAGAAAATAGAAACCGTGCAACATTTTTTACCAAGAGAGTTTTAGCCCCGAAACACCGGATTTTGTCTTACCGAGAGCGTTGCCGGCTTACAGGTCTTAATCCTTTATGGTTTCGTAGATTACGAAAAGGACTATTTTTACCATTTTAGCTTTTATATAATCGTACCTTTAACCCCCTCACTACTTTAAAACATCTTGTCCACCCCCGACGTAACAGTCACCGTGAGGTCTTTTTATTTCTTCCTCTGGCAAGTTTAATATCGTCGGTTCTTTTCTGTGGATGCAATTGCTATTAGGAATAAACTACCCAGGAATGCGAAAACTCTACAAAACTATCCTTTATTAAAGAGAATTATTACTCCATTTTTAAATTCAGAAAAACTCCCACAAATTTTGGATGCTGAATCCACAGATCGAATATACCTTGGCGATGGCGTTTGTGGTCTCTGATTACTATGGCCGGTCTCACCAGGGACAATTTCTTTAGCCAACAGCGACGGCTGTTCTTCCACCATCCTGTTTATTTTTTTTGTCAGGAGCTCTTTACACTGCTAGCCGGATTTGGGCTTAATCATTCCCTGACAATGCCTGCAAACTGGCACCAAATACAATTATTATTATCATCATTATCGGTATTATTATTAATATAAGCAAGCATAGTTAATGCCCGTTAACAGGTAGTGTCAGGGATGGATTAAGCTCATATCCTGCAGCAGTGGAAAAACGCCCGATAATAAAATAAATAGAATGGTGTTTTGTATAGTTTGGAGGGTGCAGGAGAGAAAAAACTACTACTCACGAAATGATGACAATCAAGAATGGGAGGGGTAGCACTGCATCGGATATATAATGAGTTCATGAACTATCTGAAAAAACTTTCCTGTCATATATTCCAAGTCACTTAATTTAACACATATGTTCCAGAATATAGAATAAAGGTCAGAGTTGCGTTGCGGGTTTGAGTTCGGGGTGAGTATTCGATTAAGGGAGAAATTTTGGTTAGCGTGTAAATTTAGTCTTGTTGGGATTGAATACTTTGGCCGAATTTGGATATAGTGTAAAGATGGAGCCAAAGTTTTCCCAATTCTTGCTTGTTAGGCTAAGGTTGATAGCGGATTGCTAGAACAATGGATGTTGTTCCCATTGGACGGCACACGCAAGTTAAGCCATTTTAGATTATCTATTTTTATTGATGTAGGACAGTTTGAACGGTCAGTCTCACTGGGTCTAACAAAATTAAGTCAAGAGTTTTTGTTCGAATTTTGGGCATTTCTTTTTGCCATCAGCGATGCCGTATAGGCTACTCAGAATGTCCATAATAACGGCCCCGAAGATCCTATTGGCCATGGCCTGCTTTCTTGTATACTTGACAGTTTATTTTCGCATTTCCATTGGTCTATTTTATGTAAAAGTATCCGAGTCGTCTGAAGGCCCTATAAAGACCGAGGACGACTGACGCTGAGCACCTTGGACCGAAGGACGCTTTCCGGACGCCACCGCTGCTCCTCCATCGCCTCTGCTGCCCGTGCCCAACAAGGTTTGCCTCCAAACGAGCCTGCCTCTGCCATAATACATCCCAGTGTTCGCGATTCCAACTGAACTCCAACCCTCCTCTTTTTGTCGTTATAAATAATCCCCAAACTACAATTTGGAGCCTGTCTTCTTTTCTCACTGGGGACTAGAAGGAACTCTACACGTAGCATTATTAGCCCTTATCCTTCCTGGGTGCGATACAATAATGTAATTGAGCGCGCTCTCCAAACGACCCAAAAAAACCCAAAAATAAACCCGTCAGCAGGACGATAGTTAGTTCAACCAAGCATATATGAAAGCAAAGACCGCTGAAGAACAAAATAAGATGATAATCCCGCTGAAAATACAGTTTCACTATAGTCGCAACTGACTGACTACAGTCAATACCTACACTTAGCCGTCCCTTCATCAGTTCAGCAGGTCTACTCACTGATACTTACTCACGTCGGCGGGTTGTCCTCTGCTAGCCGACGACCTCGAAAAATCCTGAAGTCGGATTTGGTTGTTTGAACTTTCCAAGAATGGTAACCATATTTTCACTTGCGTTCACATATACTTTTATCCTAGACAGTAGCTGCTCGTGACTACCAAATTTGCCGTTCTGCATTAATCGCCCAAAGTGCGCATGCATGTCGTAGAGTTGTAACTAAACCAACTTTTCGGAGAACTGAGATTATGCCTGCGAAAGTCCTGCGAACCCTGTTCCTTGAAAATTCCTGCCGTTTCGACCTTTTTCGGTTGACATAGAGCCATGGTTATTATCCACTTTAAACGACGTTGTAATGATTTTGCCCCACTTTCTATGAACCACATAAAAAAGTAGTAGGCACTTCTTGTCTTGTAATCGTAGCTATTTGACTACAATGCACTTGTCCACATATCTCTTACTTGACAAAATTTCTCAATAGCATTCCCCGGGTCGCTCAATAACTGGAACTATCCTTCCGCTATAATTCCCTTGAACTTTAACTCAATTAGAGACGTATAGGCTAACGTAACGCATGTGAAATTGTTCGGCCAATCGCCTGATGACCTGCGGAACGGTTCCGCAGAGAGTGTCAAGCCTGTCTCATTTTATTATTAATGTGAGCTCTTATAAGGAAATGAATTACACCTTGATTTTACAATGTGGGTATGTCGTACTGATGAATGCGCATGGGTGTGCGCTTTAGAGCTGCTTCCAATTGGTACGTGTGTTCATGGTCGTGAGCATAACTCCAGTTATATCCTGTGCGAGACTTAAGTCTCGATCCCGTTCGCCATAATTCATGCTGGAAGGGAAATTTACTAACTTTTATCGGGCTCTATGGGTACGAACTTACCAGGACTTGAAAGTCAATTCAGTGGTTTCAGTTCTTTTTATTACATACTACAGTCACGCACATATGCAACACATGCGTTCTCTATGTCAGCCATTGCCTCACCTTTCCCGTTTTCCTCATCAAGGCGGAGGAAATTGGGACCATAAGAACAAAGTCGCTTAGAAGGACTATTTGATGGATTACGCAGCCTGTCCCTTTTTTACTTTCATCGGTAGTCTTCTCCTTTGTGTGGTAAAATCTCACCTTCAAACCGCATTTTCTTCATATCGAGTTGGTTGTGACCACAATTTCGTCGCAAACCAAACTGCCGTATAATACTTAGTGAAGTATATTCATGAGGTTTCTTTGGGTTTTTGGGTATAGGCGGGTCTTCAACAGCCGCTCGGGCTACTTCTTTTCGTGGTTATCTCCTCTAGTGCTTTTGGAAAGAATCTTACCATAACACAGCAGTAGCAAACAAACGTATTTAGTGGCTTTTCACGGTCGCCGTGTCACTCTTCTACCATCGACCGTTGTGATTTTTTGTAAGGCGGTCGGCGTGCCAGACCTCATCCCTCCGCGCCCTGGTAGTCTTGTCGCTGTTCATTCGCAACTTCCTATTTACCAGACCCGAAAACCCGCTTAGTTTGCATCTAACCCTCGCTGAAGGCCGTTCCACTGTTCATCACCTGTGGGGCGCTGGGTAGCCAGCTACCTGGCTAATGGGTTGACACACAGTCTGGCCTCGTACGTTCGAATCTTGTGTTTTCTTGTGAATACCTTGGAGACCATGAGAGCTTCGTAAATTGACACAATAGGCTTCCTTATTTTAGTAAAACCAAGGTACAGATGTAAAAAAATTTAGCCGGTTTGCCCGCACCTGGCTACCCAACTGAAAATGAGTACTTCCGTTTTGTTGCCTTTGAGCAGTACCTTTATTTTTCGAGTTATCATTTTCTATCCAAGCTTTAGGTGTTTGGTAGGTTTACGCCCAATAAAACTGGACGTTCTTCCTAGACTGTCGCGTTTGAGGCGAATAGGACGTCTAGAATATATCCGCATGTTCGTCAGAGGCTGACGTTGAGTGCGAAGTACCCCAAGATTTTTACCTTGGTTTGTTTTGAAGCTTGAAGAAGATTGTGGTAAACTTCTACTGCCCTCCTAGACACACTTTTGGCAGTCCAGTCCAACTTTTCTCTGTGCAACTCTCTGAGATGACAAACAAGGGTCTGTTCCTTTAAAAAGGACGAGACAGCCAGCCAGTTGGGACTGTTTTTTTTCCTTTCTTAAGCTCTCGCTAGAATCTTTAGTGTGCATGTTTGCAGTACTTCTAAACCACCTCCTGCCGTCTGCCTAGTTTCAATTTTAACCCATGCAAAATGACCAAAGGAACCGCTCTGAATTTTCGACTGTCACGCAATGTCATTTATTATTCATTCTCTCTGGTGTGCTCTTTTACTTGTAGTTCTTCTGCTCGTCGGGTCAACATGTTGCGCAACTGGATCAGACTCCCACTGTAGGTTTGCATCATTACTAAAATATGCTTAGTATCTTCAAACCGTCAAACTCTCGATTGTCGTCACATGTACACTCGAGGATGGATGTTGAGGAAGTGGCGACCTTTCAGAGAGCTGCAAAACATTGGTGGAATCCCGATGGTGAGCACACTGTTTGCATATCTCTAAAATTTATCATGGTATTTAGAGACACACATTATTAACTTCGCTGGTCTACGGAGATTTACATGCTTCCTTTAAGGCCCTATGGGTCCCCTTCACTCCATGAACAATCTACGCGTCACAATGATTACTGATGCAATAAAATCCTCCTCTCCGATTGGACACTTTCCTCTCTATGGTAAAAGGATCCTGGATGTTGGATGCGGTGGTGGGATCTTGTCAGAGGTGTGCGCCCTGAGCTCCCAAAAATGTCTCATTGTGCCGCATTTGATATTTTCCACAGTCGGCCTTGTTTTCACAGCCTTAGTAGCGACCTTAACTTAAATTTAGTTTTTAAAACGGACGATCTTTTGGAAACTACGAAATAGAAGTGCACTGTAACTTCGCCCTTGGATTTCGTTGCCACGAATTTTCTTCTGACGCATTTATATCGTTGTTTTCGCATGCCATTCTGCCTTGTTAGCTACACTAATTGGACAATCTTATCCTATAAAGGCACTTACTTTTATCTGGCTTTATTCTGAAGCCTTTAGCGCTTCTTGGAGCGAGTGTACGGGGCATTGATCTCACCGCTGAGGGTATCGAAGTTGCCGAACAGCATGCCTCTACTCATGATCCCGACCGCTGGTCAACTACGCCCTTCGGGGCACCTGACTATTCGTGTTGCAGCGTGGCCGACGTTGCAAGAGAAAACCCTGGCGAGTTTGACGTGCTCGTCGCATCCGAAGTCTTGGAACATGTTTCAGACTGGGAGAACCTGATTAGAGACGCATCTCTTTGTCTAAAGGTGATTTTCCTTTTTTCATACTCTTGACTCGTATTCATATGATTTTGTAACAGAAATCTTAGATATTTCGCCTGATAGAACATCCGCCAACGCCTTTTTAGCCACGTCAAGTTGGCGGTATCGATTATATTCCATCTCTTAATGTGCAGTCTAGTACGACCGCGTTCTGTTATTCCTTATTGATAGTTTCCAGAAAAATCGCCACGACTCCCATTCCTTGGATATGCGAGTTGTCTAGATACTATCTACTAGAAGAGAATTCTATTTACTTTGCTGATATCGTCTCTAAATGCATTTTGAAGTTGTCTTTCGGATTGATATTTTATAAGTTGCCAACAGATGATACTTTCTCCAGATTATAACAAATCGTGGGTGACTTCCAGTGTCGCTAGTCTTAACCATCGGTTACATTTACTTGGAACTAACTCAGAAGAAGATGCGATCCCAATAAAAGTTTGACAGATATCACGAAATATTTAAGAACTCTTGACCTCTCATCCATATTCTTGGCCCTTGGGCCTATTAAAAGCGAACTTTTGCCAAATCTACCTTCTTCAATCTCCACTACTGCTAAAGTTAAGCAACTCCAGTACTCCCTCTACCTGTCTCGGCAATTGTCAGCATTCCAATTTTGTAGATGGTTAACGCTTCCCTCTCAGTCGTAATGCTTCGCGTTGTCAGTCTAAGGGACCAATTTGATCCAGTTGCACCCCAAAGTCTCACAGGGATCCATAACCTTTAATTTCGGATACGACATTTACGCACATTTAATGGGATATTTGGCCTCCGAAAAATGCCGTGCTCGCACTCCCAAAGTCCCGTTTTTACTACCTTTGTGCCCTCCTATAGGGAAGTCTGGTTTATGTCCATTAACACTTTACTCGTCTTCGTATTGCGGCCTTTTATTGTGAAGTTTCGTATGCATTTTCTCCCCGAATATTTTCCTTATTTGGCCATGCTGCATGTTTTGTTTACTCCGTGTAGCCTGGCGGAAGTCTCTTCGTGACTACGCTCAATAAAACAATTCCATCGTACATACTGGCTATCGTAGTAGCTGAACGGCTCTGCGGCTTAGTGCCTCTCGGGACACACTCGTGGGACAAATTTATTGATCCAGATCGGCTCAGACTTGCTGCAGTCCGGCGTAAGTCACCACCGAGCGGGTCTGTGTTCCCCGTTCCTCCTGTTTTGCTTAATTTCCTCTGGTTTTACTCTAGTCTAAACTATAAATATGCTCAGGAGCTTTTCGGATGGCGACTTGTCACTAGCTTTTGCTTCTGAGCAACTGGCTTCCCCGCCGATTCTGACGCCTCCTTAATGGAGTTCAAGTGAATGAATGAAACTATTTGGAGATCTTTAGTAGTGATGGATAGCTAGGATAGCTTTTAGGAACCCTAACTACACACGGGGTGCTCGTGCATAATCTTCATACTATGAGCTGTTTTGGGCAGCTGCTGTTAGCAAGAGCAGCAATTTGAAAGAAACCGTGAGGATCAGATTGATTTTGGTTTACCTTGCGACCGTTGACTTTTTAAGACCAAGCACCGGGTAGAATGGGATTAATGGTCTAGTCTGGAGTTCGCCTACATTTCGGAGTCTCGCATTCGCAGGTGCTACTGAACTCTCGAGAAAAACGTAGTATTATAATTTTGATTTTAGTTTACAATGCATAACCATGTTCTCCGCAAAGAAGAGGCCTATGTGCACCAACATGGCAAGTCGCCGTTTTGTGATAGTCTGAGCCTTGTCCGTTCGTCAGATCTAGGTCTTCTTTTCCTTTTGTAGATAATCTTCAGCCAAGGAAGCTTTTGGGCATGACGTACAATCCTCTCATTAACAGATGGAGTTGGATATCCTCGTTGGCCGTGAACTACGCCTTTCATGCTGTCAAGGAAATCGACTAGTTTTCCCACCCCGCCCCTTCCCTTCATTGAATTCTACATTAAATTCCTCCAAAATGCCTTATCGTGCATACTGCCCGTTCTTTGTTGGAGGCACTTATTTAACTCCTAGAGACGCGTTCTTCTGAGTAGTAGGAGGAAGACCGCGTAATCGCTGGATGCAAATGTCGTCCGTCAAGGCTTTTAGTCCCGCATAAGCTCCTGTTCAGAAGGAACCAGCGGAACTACTCGATCTTCTGCAACTTGCGTCTTGTTTGAAAGTGAACGTCGGGACTTTCAACCCCGCATAAGTTACTCTAGAAGGAATCAGCGGGACCACTCGGATTTCAACTAATTGCGTCTCACTTGGAGATAGTTCGTGCGCTGTAGACGGGTTACAGTGTGTGGACGTGACTCCACGAATGGGCCAGCCGCTCTGTCGCAACCGAGTGTCTTCGCTGTCTCGAATAAAATTCAGTGGGGACGTGCGTAAGGCTGACACAACATCTATTTCACTATCTCTTCCCGCACCCCACCATAATTCGATAACAGACGAAGTCGAAGTCTCATCTGGGCCTGGTGCATGTACTAGTTCCTAATTTCACTTACGAAGGTCTGGAATTTCGGAAAGGAACCATTACACTCGGACGATTGGTTCTCAGTCGGCCCGAGTCACCCAGTTATTTGACAACCATCCTAGACACAACTGATAAAACGTCCTCACAGGTTCAAGGGTGTCATATTTACTTTGAAAGGGAATGCGCTTGTTTTAAATGAGGATGTTTGTGTTCACGACATAGACCTCGCTCTCTGTCCTACCTCAAAGGACCGTCCGATTCAAGCCAACTGAAATTGAAAACTGGTCCATCGATTGGTAAATCTGAACAGCTCACCTACATGTGCAACACATGTTCTAATCCGCAACTCCATATGTAACAGGCCTTTTTCAGAAGGTCTCGGATCTCACAAGGACCAACCGTCAGTAGCAGTATCCGTACATGGTCAGTGACTACTGTTCGCCTTCGAGATGCGTCCTGTTCGAGGCATCACACGCCAAACTGCATTGGTACATATAGCTGCTGGGGCTCGCTAGCATAATGGTCTATTCTCAGCCAGGGCAAGACGGGAGAATTTGCCGACGTCCAGTCAAGTGTCATTGCTGTCTTTTCATGGTCACCTGTCGATCTAAGGGTTTGAGACGGCAGAGTTCTGGTCATTCAAGGCGTAGAATAAGCAGTCACGATAAGCCGTGCTTGTCACGTGGGTAAGAGTGACCAGTAAGATAAGATGGTAGGCAAGGATGATCACGCCGGGAACGTCGCTCACCATGACCCATAAACTGTCAAATATATTGGAAATATGTCATAGAGACAGAGTGGATCGTACAGCAGGCAAACCAGTTAAAACGTATTTTCACACCAATGACTGTCACATCTCCGTGTAGTCACCGGCAAAAGACGAGGGTGGAGTATAAGTACCAGTGAAGTTTTGGTCAAATACAATTATCGGTCTCAATCACAACGGTAGGAGGGAGCATAGCGCGAGGATCTGCAACAAGGAAAGTGACTGCTTTGCAGGTGCGCCTCTCAAGATCGGCCTAAATTGAGTTAGGTGCAGTAAATTTCTCACTCCTGTGCTCCTTTCACCAACAGTCAGTCCGGCATTCCGTCAACGTTTCCCTCCAATGGGTCAAAAACAGGTAGCTGCCCAAATCACAGGTCAAGGAAGAGAGGTTAGGTCGAACAAGCATAACCAATGCTAGAGAGTGTGCAGGTGTTTCAGCAAGCAGCTGAAGCAAGCTTTCTCAAGAGACAGGTGATGGCAGCTGAGGTTTGTTGGCCCCAGTGCGGCGAGCTTGCGAGCACTTGGGCTTCGTCCTATTGTAGGTAATCAGCAAGGGACGTGGCGTCGGTCGGCCTTGAGCTCTCGCCACACTGGTGCCGAGTCTATTGCGGGCAGAAAGGCGGCCTGAATAGGCAGGCGACAACAGTACCCAGTCCAGACCGGAGGCGGCATTTAGCGACGCTGGAGAGATTCTTCAGTTCTGAAAAACACGAGTAACCAAGCGGTCGGGAAGGCGAACACGACGTTCAGTGTGGGTGATGTTTGCAAGACTGTTAGGATGGGAGAGTTGAGCACCTGTTGCAGCGTGAGTTAGGGGAAGGTGAAGGAGTTACAGCTATAGTTGGCGGACATGGAGGGATAGAGGGCAGGGAAGGTAGGGGAAAAAGGGACCAGGAATCACAAGACCCATTGATGGAATGTCCGGAACAGTAGTTTTGATGCGGTTCACGCTCACGACCTCCGTGCGAGTTCCACGTTGTATGTGGAACGTCTTCGTCCCTCCAAAGACAACCAGAGAGGGACCGTAGTAAGGCAGTTACCGTGGCCGATGGATTTGATCGCGTCGGAGGTACACGTGACAGCATGCCGCCAAGTCTTTCTCGAGATATGACTCGGAGACCGTAGTCCTTGGCGGAACCAGGGAGATTGTCTACACGAACTGTCGGAGCTGGTGCAGGAGGTTGCTCGGCACCTCGACCGCGCCGACGAGAGGATTAAGAGGTAATCTCGTCGGGAAGTCGAACGGTAGCGCCGAACAATATTTCAGCGGCGAAACAGTCAAGGTCCAAGTTCAGAGTCGAGTGGGTGCCCAATAAAACCAGGGGAAGATAATCGCCCAGGTTTCCTGATCCCCAGTGTCGCGTAGGTACGTCTTTAGTTGGTAATGAAAACTCAACCATCCTGTTGGCGGCCAGGTGACAGGCTGTCGTTTAGACGCGAAGGCGAGGTTTGTATTGGCACCGCGGGCAGTCATAATAGAAGAGGGGGGACCGGAGATGGCGACCTAACAACTGAGGATGGCCTTGACCACCGATGAAGCCTCGGCATCGGACAGAGAGATAGTTTCCGGCCACCGAGCGTGTCGGTTCACACACTGAGGCAGAGGCCTAAAGCGTCTAGGTGGACGTGGCCAAATATTGCGCCGGGGCCAGGGGGTGCCGATGGGCGCTTTGCGTCGCTAGACCTTACTCCTTTGACAGACAACACATACCTATGTCCAAACCTCCAGGTTCTTGTGCATCCCCGGCCATATGCAGCGGTCGAAGAGCAGTCTTTCGATGGCTCGACACCCGTGATGACAGAGGTTGTGCAGGAGGATGACACTGTGGCCGAAGGCAGGTGAGAGTCGGTGAAGACGATACAGAGGGTGACAGTGTCGCCAGTAGTCAGGGGGAGGTCCTGGAGTTGCAATTGGTAGACGCTTTCGTCACAGGGAGGACAAAAACGGTATATTTTGGCGGTTATCTCAGCTAGTCCGATCCGCGGAGAGAGGTAAAAAGACTGCAGTATTAATAGTACGTAACTGCCGTGGGACCACATGCATGGCATAATTAGCGGCTCTCGCGATCATCTCTGGAGGTCGTAACTAATGCGATGATAGCTTGTCAGTCTGCTTTCGAGAAGTTGACTGCTGCAATTCCCCCACCCGTGTCGAATGTTGACATTTCAACCTGCAGACTGGCAAGAGGCCCGTTTCGGCGTCTCAAACTTCTGACCTCTGACTCGAACACCATAGTCAGCTCGTGCATACAATTACTAGATAAAGCGGTAAGTCTCATACCAAGCGATGTCATGGTACCTTTTGATGCCACGTTCCTTTTTACTTCTTTTCTGCAGGACTTGGTAGTCGAGACCGTCGAACTAAACCTACGAAACAAATACGGTGAAACGAAAAATCGCCTCTTACGCGCTTAAATCGTCCAACGCCTAAAGTTCTGTCTCAGGATGTGTTTGACGTTCGACGGAACAATCGACGAGCGGATGAAGGGCACGCCAATTGGCTTGCCGATTTTAGGATTCATAGCCAAGGCGGCCCTACAACGGCTGGAGTCGCTGGTTTTTCGACACCACAGACCGTAATTTTGGACCCGGTATGTGGATGATACCTCCGTCTTCTTCGAATGGGATCAGGTTCTGACATTCAAAGAACGCCATAGCGCCGTCATCTGGGGCATTCAATTTGCGATGGGGAAGGCAGAAAACAATCTGTTGATCTTTCTAGACGTTCTCATTTGCCGCAAATATTGTGGTGGTCTAAATAACACAGTGTTCAGGAGGGCGACAAATACGACGCAAGTATGGATTTCAACAGTAGCCACCCAATCGGCCACAAACGCAGTTGCACAACAGGGCTATCCCGGCGCGCTGAGACGCATTGTAGTGAAGCAGAAGACAAGGTTACCGAATTACAATATCTTCGACGGATACTGGGAGAAAATAGCTACCAGCTCAATTTTGTCAACCGCTGCATATGCAAACGAAACCAGAGAGCAAATCCAATAAGTCCTAAATTTTGGCGAGCTCTTCTGTATGTGAAGAACGTTTCGGAGGCCATTAACGACCTCACTCCACCTGGAGTTGGGGTTGCACGTAAGCCGAAAGTAACCATCAGGCGCCAGGTCATGAGACCGAAATACTCACCGCCACGGCGAAAACGTCTGGAGTCGTTTCTCGAATCTGGTGTAGTTGCGGACATAGCAACTGAGTCGGGGAAACTGGGAAATCATCCCGAACGTGGATGGCTGAGCACGTAGCAGCAGTGAGGAGAAAAGACGCTATCTCTCAGATGGCGACTCTTTCCACGGGACCCAGTCATATTTTTAAATTTCACGAGACCGAACTCCTCGCAAGAGGGGACAACCGCGTGAGCCGCGAGCTGCTCGAATCATGGTTCTCAGGCCCGCAATCCATCAACAAGCGCAATGACCTCCCCTTACCATATTCGGTGCCGAGACATTCCCTGCTCAGGGGAATCAGTCACGTGAGGAGGGCGCGGGCAAGCAATAATCGCAGTAACAGCGGGCCAAATTGTTGAGTAATCATCACGCCAACATTCGACATGGATGATGAAATTGCGGCAGCTAGCGACTCGGACGCGGACTGACGAGCCATCATCGCATCAACTACGACCCCCAGCGGTGATCGCGAGAGCTGTTAATTAAAGTGCGAATGTGGTCCCA